CTCTCTGGCGCACACACACACACACACACACACGATGCGCAAAACTCCAAAAAACAGTCAATAGCAAATACATAAGCTAATAACAAAACCGTAGCTGATTCAGAAGCGCCAGATTGTCATAGCAAAGTCAGAATTACCTCCTCTCCTAGGTTCACAAAATGGTTGTCCATAAAATGCATTGCTGTTCTGTTGTAAGTAATCTTAAAGATTCCTAAATGCATCTACTTTCGGAAGGCCAAATAAAGTGCTTTTGCTTTCACCTAGAAACACACCGCGTCTCCCTGACGTGGGTGCTTCAACACTAACTGCGGTTACTGAAACCACGCCTTCTTTCTTTGCGTGAACATTTGGGCGCATTATGCAAATATTCCCACATAGTGAGGTAGATATGTGGGGGCGTGTTAGAACGAGCCGTTTTAGGGGGGCGTGGCAGAGTCTTAACTTTGATAAAGAATATCTCTTTGGTTTTGAGACTTTAGTCTTTGCAACTTCAGGGATCTTATCTATGCACAATCAGCTTGTAACACTCCAAAGAGAAAGGAAAACTTGAAATCGCATCATATGACCCCTTTAAATTCAAGCTCAATGTCAACAAGTGCATCAATTAAAATTCTTGTTTTATTTATTTTTTTATTAATTTCAGTTACATAATTATCACAAATTATAATACACATTTAATTGGATCAGATTATATACTTAATTAAAATTGGATTATTTTAATTACTGGTAAATTTGAGTACAAAAACTTTGTATGCATGCCTTTAAGTTGGCGTATACAGACAGACATTTTCATAGCAGTTCTCGCCTTTATAAATCCTGATTTGTTCCTCACTTTTGACATAGGATGAATTCTATTTTCAGCAATATGCTGTGATGCCCAGGTATTGTGACCCTCCATTGATGTATATGGAGAGAGCAGCTACAAGTATGTTAATGAAATATTAATTTCATGCTTCTACTTTGTCACAGACAGTGACACTTATAGCTGTTTATAAATAATGGTCAAACACAGGTCTGTTTGGAGTGAAACGGTACGGCGTCCATGTCAATGGCTACACTCGGGATTCAAGTGGCAACCTTAATATGTGGCTAGCACGACGATCTCTGACCAAACAGACGTATCCAGGAAGACTGGACAACATGGTAATTTATTAATACTAAACTAATTAATCAGCTCATTACAAGAAGTGCCGAACCAAACTTACACCACAGGTTGAGTCAACGGATGTTGAATCATATTGTTACTTCCAACACATAGATCTATGACTCCTTCACACTACACACTCATTTAACTTACCTTCAACACTCTCTGCACTTCAGTACTGGACCTCAAGGATCCCTCTTATTATGTTAGTGCTACATTTGTACTGCTGCCGTTTAATTACACAACTTATTTTATACATACTTAAATAGTTCATTCATGTACATATAGCATTTTAAACACTTGTGTATTGTATTCTGCCTTTGTGTGGGGTTTTGTAAGTCTGTTGCCTATGGAATTTATGTTTGCACTGTTTTTAATTTTTGCACATTGCATTGTTGTTTTTACCTGTGGGAATTTCCCCAAGTAAGACTTTAATTGTACTTACCCTGTACATCAAGTTTGGGTCAGTAGTGTAGAAAATAATTTATATATATATATATATATACAGTGGGTACGGAAAGTATTCAGACCCCCTTAAAATTTTCACTCTTAACACAGAGTAATATTTGCTATAAATTACTACTTTGAACTTCTGGAAGTACACTAGCATTAAGATGACCTCAAAGCTATTTTGATGTAATGGGGTCTTTAAAGGATTTGATTTATCACTCAGGCGGCTGGAGGACTGGCAGCAGGCTGTAGTGTAAGGCATACCATGGTAAAAGAGTGTGAAGAGGAGGCCTGCATCCCTCCAGGCCTGGCAGAGCAAGCGCGTCCTGTGGGAACTGTGAGGTGCTTAAATCCTTTTTTCTTATTTCTATACCACTATTTAAGTTAGGTCATTACAGATCATTTAGAACCTATTACGAAGCACAAAAACAATTGGTAACTGCTGATTTTTTAGATTAAAATGCATGGTACAGTTTTCCCCTATTCAAAACCTTTCCCACATACCAGGGTAGATATAAACTCTCTCAACTCTCCTGCAAGAGAGACTGATTAATACAGCAGAAATGCCAGAAATAGCTTCCAACTGGCAGGTTTCCAGAGAAATATTCTGTGCGCACAAATGAAGATGACCAGAATTCAAGTTTCATACAGGCTTAGAACAAGTCAATGTGATCAAAGACATGAATGCCTGTAACAGGAACCATTTCTGCCTGGAAACTGTTTACTATGTTTAGCTAATTTGAAAGACGTTCTGCAATCTTGAATCTCTTTCATGCCTCCCTCTGTCTCTTTTCTCTGTAGCTACACCTACGAAGATGAGGAAGGAATATTTCCTGAGTGTCAGTTTGTTTTTGATTTAGAGCTGCCTCTCAATTTTCAGCCTCACATTGGAGACGGAGAAGTGCAAGCGTTTTACTACTATCCAATAGAGAAGGTGATTTTAGGTTTGAATGCTATGTAATGTATTTCATATAAAATAAACTGTGACAAGTTTGCTTTGACATAAAATGTATTTTGAACATGAAAATATACTTTGACATGCAAAAAAGTTTTAGCATAGAAAATGGTTACTTTTCTCTCACAGGCAGCTTCCCCCCCCCCCCCCCCCCCCCCACACACTGGAGGTCAGATGTCAGATCACCTGGTAGGATTTGAGATTAGAATTTGATAGCATGTAATTTATGTACTTTTAAATGAAAAGTTTAACATGAGAAAGGCTGTGACTTACCTTTTTCTCTCATTGCAGAGCCCTATTATCACGAATTTGTGGCTGGATTGCACAGATCACTGTAAAAACTGTTAAAGCCTGTGTCAACCTGCAACAGTTTGGTATTTTTGTTATCTACCTCCGCTTTTAACTCCTAACATTGTCAGTATGTGTACTTGTTTACTAAAGACCACATCTAGCTGGTGAAGACATTTTACGGTATTTTACGCAAACATAACCCGGAGAAGAGACAGAATAAAGACCCAAGCAAAGTTACCCTATAAGAATTTATTTTTTCAATACATTTCAGATGAGTCTGTGGAAATCCAAAGATGCACTGGTATACAAAAGATAATTGATGCATCAAAGGCTCTTTTTTTTCTTACAATGAAATGCAGAATCTCTTCTAAGAAATTACTTGCATTTAATAATATGGCATTAAACAGCTCTCTCAAAATCACATTTTGGCTACTTTTGTCCTTTGTTTCTTTTAAAACTTTAAATTCTAAGATACTAGAATTTGTAAAATACGCAAAAATGATATAGTATAAGCCAGTAGAATTTCACAAAAAAAGAAAAAACATACAGTACAGGAGAAAAAGAGGGGAATATTAAACAAAAAAGGGAGAGAAAATGGAGGGAGTTTCTCATTTATACAGTGAGATAAACAAAAAATTATGTTACTGTCACCTTTTATAAAACTTATATATATATTGCCAAAATCGAACAGTGTCTGACAGTCAACATACAAAGCTGTGGTTATGCTTTGAGCTCCACAAAGGCTGATTAACCCAAAGTCTTTCTTTTTTTAATTACAATACATGAGCAAGCACATAAAATCCTCACAAAAAGCTGAATTAGTATGATCATTGCTTAATGCATCTTACTTTGAATTTTATAGGCAAATGGCAAAAAAAAAGTATAAGATATATTTAAATCTTATTGGAATAAAGAATTGTAAGGCTACCACTATTTCAGCTATTTTAAACCAGTGACTAAACCGCCAATTTTGCAACAGGACAGGAGAGCACAGAGGAACCGGTTGTGTTAACCAACAGTGTTAGCATGTTAATGTAGGAAAAAAAGATCATTAAACAGAAAATCGTAGTACGAAGGACATGCATGAATCTTTTACATAAGATGGCACTGGGTTCCTGGGAGGTTTATAAAGGGGTTCATGGGAGTATTACGTTGTGTGGCCAATGTCTTGATCCAAAAAAACAACTCCCTGCTTGACATATCGCATACATGATGTAGGGTACTAACTAATGCCTTTTACACCCTGAATAATGCACTTGGTGCCAAAAAAGGAATCTTTTTAGACCAAGTCGTTTGTTTCTGTTCTTGCTAACAGTGCCGATCTTCTAAGCAGAAGATGTGGTAAAGAATGCATCGCATATAATCCCACCCCAAAAGCAATCAGTGATTGTGAGCCACTGTGAAACCACGTCAATCTTTACCCTACATATAGACTACATATAGACTGTCTGAAGGCTTAAGGTCAACTAATCGTGATTTGAAAGAGGACTGATGGCCATAAAAATGTTTAAGTCCCTTTTTGCCGGTGCAGTTGACCCTACTATCTTCTGTAGTTTCCTTTGGCCTGGATTGAAAATGACCCTCCCTGACCCCCGAGTACATAATTAACACTAGGGGGCGTTTCTTCCCTCTATTTGCTAACTTTTACAGCTCTTTCATTTTCCTTGGCCTAGTTTGGTTACCCCTTTCCCTCCCTCGTTCTTTTCTTTTCTCTCTCTCTCTCGTTCTCTATAGCAAAGCGCAGGGATTCTTCTTGCCACGCTTTTTGGCTTGGAGCGCCGCTCTTGTGGCCATTTCGAACACTTCCCTCACACCATCCTTAGTTTTAGCCGAACACTCAAGGTAGCCGAAGGCATTGATGCGATTAGCCATGTCTCGTCCTTCCTCTGGTTTAACTGGTTCCTGTTCAAGGAAGAAAGCATAGACAGGGCATTAGTACACTACAGCATAACACGGCAATAACAGCAATTTTCCACCAATCAATAACAGAAAAAAAAATTGTTTTTATGTTATTTCCATACATATTTCCATATATTCCAATATAGTGACTGTTTTATAAAAAGGAAAGTGTTAGCTCACACACCTGTTTCATCTTCAGCATCTCCCGTCGAGTGTGATCATCATTCCGTAAATCTTTTTTATTACCCACCAGAATTATTGGAACATTTGGACAGAAATGTTTTACCTCCGGCGTCCATTTTTCTGGGATATTCTCTGTGTGAATAGAGTATGGTTTTCAATACAGTGAGTACAGGAATGTGGTCTTACTGTATAAAACATTTAAAGGCCGAAATTAGGAAATTATCTCACCCAAACTGTCAGGGCTGTCTATGGAAAAGCACATGAGGATGACATCAGTGTCTGGGTAGGACAGGGGCCTCAGCCTGTCGTAGTCCTCTTGTCCAGCTGTATCCCATAGAGCCAGTTCCACCTGCCAACAAAATGATGAAAAATTATATTATCGGCATAATTTGTGTAAAAAGTTATTAAACAAATTCACACCATTTCTAAGCATTTAGCAATACTTGAGCTGCGTGAACACAAGTTTGAGAATATTTGAGAATGATCCAAAGTTCACATGTTCAGTGTCACAAATTAACATAATGAAGAATTCATAAAAATATTATTCACAAAAATGCTTGGATGTTTTATATATAGGTAACTACCATTCAAAAGTTTGGGGTCAGTAAGATTTCTTTCAAGAAATTAATATTTTAATTCAGCAAGAATGCATTAAAATGATCAAAAGCGACAGTAAAGACATTTATCATGTTACAATAGATTTCTATTTTCAAGTAAATGCTGTTCTATTCAACAAAGAATCCTGAAAAAAATGTATCACAGTTTCCACTAACATATTGAGCAGCACAACTGTTTTCAGCTGTGATAATAATAAGAAATGTTGGAGCAGCAGATCAGCATATTAGAATGATTTCTGAAGGATCACGTGACACTGAAGACTGCAGTAATGAAGCTGAAAATTCAGCTTTGCCACCACAGGAATAAATTATAATTATATATTAAAATAGAAATTACAGAAATAAAAAATAGAAAATGTTGTTTTTAAATTGTAAAACTATTTTGCAATATTACTGTTTTTACTGACATTTTTTATCAAATAAATGCAGCCTTGGTGAGCATAAGAGACTTTTTTTCAAAAACATTTAAAAATCTCACAGACCACAAGATTTGGAAAGATTTTAAATATTGCATATTTTAACTATACTTCTATAACGTATTTATATAAAATGTATTTCAATATATTTATATACATATATTATTAATTGTAGTTAATCATCTCACAGATAGACACGTCTTCCAACATCAGCAAAAGACAATCAATCACTCACTGTTGACCCAAAATAAACCCCATTCATTACAAATGAACTCTGCATAAAAATGCAAAAATAATAATAGAGGAAGAACACTATTAAGAAGTTTGTGAACAATCTGAGGAAGTTACTAGTTTCAAAAGTTCAAACTGCTACAGAAGAGACACATGTAAGCTGTAATAGACCAGCGGTGACTCTGGGTTTGATGTTAAGAGACATTCTTACCTGTTTGCCGTCCACCTCGATATCAGCAACATAGTTCTCGAACACTGTGGGTACGTAGACCTCAGGAAACTGGTCTTTACTGAAAACGATGAGTAAACACGTCTTTCCACATGCTCCATCCCCAACGATTACAAGCTTCTTACGAATTGCAGCCATCTGTCACACAAAATGAAAAGATCAGCCAATAATTGCATGAGGCAGGTGGAAATTGTTCCTACACTGGAATTGGCAACCATTTTTATTACATAAATCATATCTTTTTTTTTTTTTTTTTGATAAATAGAGAATTGTTCATGTACATATGCCCTCTCTGTTCTAATTCTACTGTTTCACATGGAAGAGCAATCCTGAGGTGGAAATACTCCAGACATTCTTGAAGAAGAAGAAGAAAGAAAAAAAATCCTAAACCAGGCAGGCATACAACAGTATTATTTACCCATAACTAGCTTTAACGTTATTGTCATGAGTCTGAAGTATCAGTGTTTGAACAGACTTCTAAAGTAACTGAACAAAATAAAATAAAATAACAGGAACCAATTCTATGATACCTTGTAACTGTCTTGATTAAATACAATTGAGAAACATCTCAAATCGTAATCTCTTTAATCTCTTATCTAAAAACGTATGTTTTGTCATAAACCAACAAAATGAAGTGCTTTATTTGCAAGCGTGAGTCTGGAGTGGGCTTACAAGGAACATGTGCACCATTTAAAGCCACCTGTGTTACATATAAGCCCACTATTCTTTATATAAATACTTCACATATTATTCAAATGCATTAAACACTTCCGTTTTGATTCATTAACATTTAATAAAAGAACTACTGATCAGAATGGACAAACATGCATTACAGTTTTAGCACTTGATAGCCTATTCAACAATTATCACTTGCTATCATTTTGTCACCACAATGAAAATAATGTAAGTGGATAAATTAAAAGAGTGTGTTGTGAGAACAATTTGTTCAGTTAATGCTATTTATATGAGTCTCAGTAGGCTTATTAGGAACAATAGGAGCCGATGCTGTGAAATCAACTTGACAAAAAAAGTTATATCTATGAATATACAGTATATCTATACACAAATGGCATGAGCATCTTTTTAACCTGAAGAAGCTTATTAAATATTTATTATGGTTATGTTTAATTTTATTGGTCTACTGGCAATTTTTATGAAATCTGTTTTCAAATATTCAGATCGCATTCATTTATCAACCAGTTTAATCACTGTGGATACTAAGAAAATAGTTTATTTTGAGTGC